GAGAAGCTGCATTTCTCTTGGACAGCCAGACTGCATCAGCTCTGCCTTCCTTTCCCTGAGCTGAGGGCACGGTGTGTGTGAAGCCTTGTGATGGGAAACCCACCGTCCCCAGAGAGCGGGCGCAGGAAGGAATGGAGCTGAGATGCATCTGAGTGCTGTGAGTCCTCCTCTGAGGACAGGGAGGAGCCCCAGCTGCTGAAACACCTTTGTTACAAAGAGTGGTGAAAGCAGGAGTGGATATGGAAGATGTAGGTTGCTCTTGGAGGCAAGGTGGAAGTTTCCGTTGTTGTGCAGGTTCAGCACGCTCCTGCTGCCTTGGTGTGCCACGCTGCCCGCCCTTTCTACGCTATGTCAGGTTTTTTTCCTTTATTTTCTAAGGTAGGAAAACCAATTTCTGGGCCAGGAGAAGAAGAAATGCAGCAATCTTCTCTGCCCGGCCCACTTTGCCTGAGTTGCCAAGTGCTCCTGGGGTAACGATAGGATGTGATGAGCCGGCCTTTGTGGCAGGGGCTGTGGCTTTATTTTATGCCTGTCAGAACTTGAGGCCTAGGATTTTCCTTTCAGAGTGCCCACCGTCTATTTTAAATGATAAACAATGATATATCAAAAACGTCTTCCCTCCTTGTATTAGAATAATGCATTGACTTTGGATATTTCTGTCTTTCCATTCCTTTAGCAACTGGGGTGCTGATGCAGCTGCACGCCTCTCCCATTTTGTCCTTCTGCTCTGTGTCAAAGAACAGTAAAATATGCCATCTCTGTGTGGAATTCCCTTGAAGTACTTTACTTAGTTTGCTTCCAGGAAGCAATGGTGTGGAAATGATGGCGGTGTCAGCCAGCAGCCCGCGCAGCGACCTGATGTCTGATTGTTTGGGTCTGTCAAAAAGCACCACGATGAGGAAAGAAGGTTTGCATGGATTGTGTGCTGACTGTGTCAGTGCAGCCCTGTGGACACGGCATGGCAGGGAGAAGGGATTTCCCTTCTGATGGGAAATGCCCGAGGAATGTTGGCATCCCGCGCGTTGCTGTGTAAGCGCTGCTGAATGGGCAGCTCAGCTTCTGTGTCACTCAGCCACCTGTGGCAGAGCAGATCAGGCTTTCTGCAGGCGTGGGCCCGTCGCTTTGTGCCTTACAAGGAGTTGAAAACCTTCTCTTTTTGAGTCGTGTTTCCAAGTTTCACCACCATCGGCGAAGCTGATGTTGGTTTTTTTTTCCTATCCTTCAGTTCTGAGTCCCTATTTTCCTAAACGCAAAGGAATGTGGAGGTGACCACCTACAGCACAGTGAGTGATTTCGGTGTTTATTTCTGAGCGCGGCACTTATTTCTGTTTGGAGGTGTGCCTTCATGTACGGTGCCTGTCTTAATTCTGAGCAAGGTTCTAGTTGCGGCTGACTTCCCCAGGCTGCAACACGTGGTAGTGACACAGCCTTGGGCTTGTGAGTTTGCGTTCATCGCACCTTTTCTTGCTGTGCCTTGCAGGGCAGCTCGTGCTGGAAGTGGGCGGTATCACAGTGTGAGTGAAGGCCAGTGCAGGAGCAATTTCTGGTGTGAGGAAGGAACTCCAGGCTGATGGACTCTGCGGCATCTTCTGGTATGATAGCAGAGGAAGCAGGAATGATCTTGCAGAAGAAGGGGAGGAACTCTTCAGCAGGAAGCCCCAAACCTTGCAGAAAGCTGCAAGAGAGCTGGAGCAAGTGTGGATGCCCAGGGGAAGTGCAGCCCCAGTGTTGGAGCAATGCCGGGCCATGGGGTGCTGCGGCCCAAGAACAGAGCTGTTCTGCCTTTGCAAGCTGGCTTGAAAGAAGGACTTTTCTGCCTTCCTAAAAAACAGAGGGCTGGCTTATCCAAATACTTGCTGATTGTTTGGAAGCCCAAACCTTCCCAGCACCCAACCTGTAGGCAGCCAGGAAGCAGCATCTGCTTGGTCTGATTGTGCAGTGCCTGAGCAAGAGTGTGACCCAAGCTGGCTGCACAGGAGTCATCTGAATTTCTCTGTTCCTTTACTTCAACTAACTCCACTGGGTGACACTTAAGTTGGTTTCTCAGCCTTTGGATGTAGGAGGTGACCACTCCCTTTGCTGTGATGGAAGCACAGCGGTGATGCAGGCACTCGCTGAGGTCACAGTCGTTGCCGGGGTGGGAGCGTTTGTGCCCCAGGTGGTGAGCAGAGCTGGTGCTCTGGTGAGCGTGGTGCACGCAGACTGAGCTGTTGTGGAGCTTCCTTGAGAGATCATCTGTGAGAGCCCGGCTGGAAGCAGCGCTGCGGCGTCTGCGTGAGCTGGGCACAGCTGAGGCCGAGCAGTGACCAGGTGAGCTGGGTTTGGTGCTGGGGGGTTGGCAGGAGGTGTCTCAGCAGGAAAGCTGGGCTGGGGTGGGCACACTGTGTCAGCCCTCGTCCAGGCTGGCGGTGAGGCAAAGGGAGTTTTCTTCACGACAGCAACGCCAGCCGTGTGCTTCAAGGTGCACAACTATTGAGGAGATGGAGAAGAACGCTTGCTGCCAGAAGTCACGGCAGCTGTACGGAAGCTGGCTGTGTTCTGGGGACAGTTCTTGTAGCTAGTTGGTTTGGAGTATTGCCCTGCCCGATAGTTTAAACTGCGTAGCGGGAGAGAGAACAGAAAGCTGGGAAAATGCTTCTTTCTCACTATTTTTCGCTTGCAGGTTCTTTCCTTCGGGTTGGTTTGCAAAAGGAGATTTTGGGAATCGAGGCAGTTGAAGAAAGCCAGTGAAGGCAGCTCTCTCCAAGAGTGGGGGCTGTGCCTGTGGAGAGGAGGCCAGGAACCTGAGCTTCCCCTGAGACGTTCCCCAGCATGTCTCAGCAGGGAGACAGTTCCCACTCCTGCTTTGCGCGTGGAAAGGTATGGCTGGGTTTCTCTCTCTTGGGTTTTCTTCCTTTCTCTGGTTCTGGAGGGGGAAGAGGTGGAGCAGGGGGAGCCCTGCTGGTCCTTTGTGAGCTCAGTAAGCGGTTGGGTTGTGTGCGTGCAGCAGCAGAACAGCATTGCCAGGCTCCTGAACCTGCTGGGGCAGGGGGGGGAGCAGAGAGCGGGCGCTGCCCTCCTGCCAGCTGCGCCTGGTTCTGGTTTGCCAGGTCCCTGCTGCCCTGGGTTTCTGCTGAGAAGTTTGTTCTAGCTGCCTGCAGCAGTAACGAGTGGGGAAGAAGTGGGGGTGAAGAGCTAAGGCTGCGCACGGTAATTTGGCGTGGGTTGACCTGTGGCACCTGAAGACGCTTTTTCCCTCGGAATAATGCTGGTGTTTGCAGGTGTGTTGGTGTAAGCCCTGAAGTGATGTCTGAGAGCGCCTGTCTTCTGCACCTGAACGATAAGGAAGCTGGATATGCCCAGAAATTGCAGCTTGTGCAGATGTTGTGAATGCGCTTGCAAATGTTTCCTTGAGTGACAAGTGATGTCTCAGCACTCTGCTATCCCATCTCTGGCCCAAGGTGGAATGCTGCATCTCTTTGCAAACGTTGGGTGCCTGTTTCCATGGACCTTCCTTTTTTCTCTCCTCAGAAGCCATGCGGTGCTGTTCCCTGTGTTTGGGAGCAGCAGCCAGCAGGCTGCCCCAATGCCAGCTGGGCCTTGCAGCGCGCAAAGGGAAACGACGGGGATGGAGCATCCTTAGCACCATGCAAAAGTGAGTCTCTTCAGTCCTCTGTCATGAAGGATGGAAGAATGCATCCTAGGTATTACTTCTGAGCGGGTGCAGTGCTGCAGGGATGTCCAGTAACCATGGTGCAAGCATTAGAGAGGCCGACAGCGGCAGCTGATGGCAGCAGTGAGACAGAAGTCTGTGTATAAGCGGTGCTGCTCAGAGCTGAGCGCATCCCTCTAGGGACAAGTGATCTGTGTCTCCACGTTTGCACCTGGTAGCGTTTTGGTTGCTGATGCAGCTTTGCTCTGCAGAATGCAGAGCTGTCAGGCAGACCTGGGTTCCTCTGCTGCCATCTGACAGGAATGAGAGCAGTACTGCTTTGTGTAAGCGCAGTGCAGTTTGAACATCAGTGTTTCTGCTCTGGCTGTAGAACAGCGTCTTTTGGATTTGGGGGGTGGATGTGGGCTGACAGGCCGGTGCTGCTCCTGGTGTCTGTGCAGTCACACTGGATCTGTTGTTGCAGGGACGGAGCCTGCGCGTCCGTGGGATGGTGCTGGGCACGGGGGGAAACGGAAAGCCTCCCCAGGTGAGAAGCTCCTGTGAGCTGTGGTGTGGGTGCTGCCTGTAAGGAGGGCTGCATGCAGGGCTGTGTGTGTGATGGAGGAGAGAGGAAAGGGCGCTGCAGATCTGTGCTGACTGCAGAAGTGGCACAAGGCTGTAGCAGCAGAAAGGCAAACTGAAGAAACTGCACTGGAAGAGCAGAAGTTTGTGGTTGGCTGTGCTGGAATGTTCCTCCAAAGGGATGCTCTTCACGTCTTTCCTGTTTCTTTTCTGTCAGAAGCTGATGCAAGCAGGCTTGCAGTGAAGCGCAGCCTTCCAGGAAGGCAGGGGAGGAGCATGGAGTGTGGCACTGCACCCAAGAGAGGTACGGGCATACAGCAGGCGTCTGGGTTTTGGTGCCCTGTGTTTCTCGCTAGGCTTTCTGTCTGTCCTTTCCTGGGGCTGTAGTCCTTGCGTGTTGCTCTAGGTCTTAATTCCTGGGGATTACAATTACCTTCCCCATCCCAAATGGAAGTGGGACTCCACAGTTCAGCCAAGATCCTAAGATCCATCGCTGTGAGCACTCGAGATGAGATTTCCTAATGTTGTGGCCCATTTTGCAGACTGAAGGCAGTGCAGGACTCACTGAATGTTGTTGTTCCCCTTTCCTGATTCTAACAGGGAGAGGAGCTGAGCCAAATGGCAAGATGTACGTGAAAGCTCCCCTGCAGGCTGGAGGGCTTCCTGGAACAGCAGGCCCCAGCACAGGGGGAAGAGCTTCCCCTGCAGTGGCCAACCGCTCCTTCTGCAAGACCGTGGCCACAAGAAAGCGCAAGGGCACGGAAGAAGAGGAGCAGCAAGCAGAGCTGTGTCCTGCCAAGAAAGCAGTGAAGGTGGAGCGCAGTGGGGAGAAGGCTCAGAGCAGAGGCGGTGTGCCAGCCCCAGCGCCGACTGAGCGGTTCTGGGCCTCAAAGCGAAGAGGTAAGAAGACGCTGCAGCTGCCCTGGTGAGGTGCTTCCCTTATCCAGCACTTGGAGTTCGCTTAGGCTTTGCTTTTTCCTTCTCTCTGCAGAGAGGGGAAAAGAGTAGAAGGCTACCAAGTCCAAAGGCAAGGACGTGCCAGAATGTGTAACCCCTTCTTTTCCCGTTCACTCCATGATGGCCCTCTGCTCGTCCCACTGGAAATACCGTTCCCTGCGAGGCTTCCTAGCCTGTTCTCATGGTACCCACGTTTCCACAGTTTTGCTGTTGACAAACTGAATTTCTCTTCTCTTGCTCTATAGCAAGGCGACAAAGACAGCAAGAGAGGAGAGCAGAAATGAAGAAGGCTGCTCTGAGAGCTGCTGCTGCACATGCAGAGGTGAGTCCTTGGCGAGCACAGAC